ATCTTCCTTTGCCGCCGGGGGTGACAGCTGACAAAGGATGCCCTTGGCCAAATGGAGGAGGTGTCACCCGGCCTTTGTGATTCAGAAACGCTCAGGGAGCTCTGGCTGCACACTTTCTGCAAAGTAAAGGCACCGAGACACATAGATGAGAAGTTTTGAGCTGACAGGTCCGGGTGGGCGACGAAAGCAAGTTGGGAGCTGTTCCAAGGGAGGCCTGCGCTGTGGGTTTTGAAATCGGTGTAAAGAAGCGACCTCCTTATTTCAGAGCGAATTACCTTTCAGTAACCTAGGGATACTGACTTGTCCTTGTTCGTTGATATATATTACTTTTTCTCTGTAACAATGCCACTAGGAGAGAGGTTGGCAGGCTGAGGGGAATTCATAATGATAGGATCTTTTATTTTTGGCTCTTAGTATCATGGAAGCCATCGTCAGGGCAGCCCTTGGTGACCGTGAGATTAATTGGTCAAGATGTCATGTGTACTGGACAGGTGGGCGTTTAACGTCCTTGCCATCTAACTCCACACCCGCGTTGGCACCATACCCAGCAAACGGGGCTCTGGAGTCGGAGCGCTCTCCTCACCCCAGGAGGCCTTTCAAAGTGTAGACCGTTTTCATCAGTTTTGCTGCTTTGTTTTCTCCAGGGCTTGAAGATTTAAAGTCTTATATTCTAATACTGTACTGGGTGAATAGCTTTCTCTGTAAGCACACTAAATCGATTTAAAAAGATAACTTTTTTATACCCTTTTGGCCTTTCTCCTCCAATCTCCTATCGATCACAGCCATACGACCTGGGAGGGCTTGGGTTCACCTGCAGTTGCTGTAACAGATCACGTGCAGAATGAAACTAGCAGTGTTGATCATTAATTGGTGGTAGTTTTGAAGAAAGATTTCTAACCACTATTAATCATATGCTAGTTTGGTGTAAGACGACAGTCATCAAACTCGATTTTCTGTAACTTGGATGCTGTGTTCCTAAAGGTAAACATCTAGTCTTCCCCCTTCTCCACTCCCCCCCCCACCACTGTTTTTTAATTGTGCTTTTATCTTTTGATAAGCTTGGGTACTAATGATTATATTTAGAGTATTTCATCCTTTCAAGATCTGTCCTCAGCAGGGGAAATAGAATGTCAGATGGAACCTTATGAGTCAGTGTAGCAATCTGGGGCTGTTTATAAAGCCTCCTCCAGAAGCTAAGTCATCAGCTTCCCTAGGTGCTTCAGTTCCTTGAGTGTGAAGCAGAACACCTGGTGTGTGTACTTGCCCAGACTGAATGTCAAGAACTTGAGCCAGAGACTGTTTGGGAAAAATAATCTTACCAGGAACTTTTTAGCCATCCTTATGCTTTGGCAGTGTAAAACTGAGTCAGATGCAATTCCCTTTACACAAAGATAACTATACACTTGAATCACAATATCCTAAGTCTCTAGAATAAAAAAGGACCTTATATTAAATATAGAGGTTTAGTCTCTCTAATAAAATCTCCAGTGTATGAGCATGCCTCAGGCAAGATAGAGTATATGCAGTAGAATACACATATTCAGTACCTCTTGCTTCATTTACAGACCACAAAGTAAAAGAAAGAATTATACACCGCACATAGTAAAGCTTGGCAAACACTACATGCTAACAGTGAACACTTATTATATGCCAGGTACTGTTCCAGCAGTATTACACGTTTTAATTCATTTTGTATTTATAACCTTCTATGAGGTGGATACAACTTACCATGTTTCATCTTCCTCCCCTGCCTGGTCTTTAACATTTCTGTAATCAGGATGACTTTTTAAATCATTGATTGTATGTCACAGTTTAATTGATAACATTTTTCCTACCATTACATAAAATAATAATGTGTCTTATAATCAATGCTCTTAGATTCTTGAGCTGCTATGTTATTTACATTTTAAAGATGAGCCATGAGAGGATAAGTTGCCTAAGGATATACAGTTAATGACTGAGGTAGGAGTTAGAACCCAGTTAGTCAGCCTCATGCCACTTTGTTATAGTCTGCCTTTCTCAGAGCTTACACTGTGTTGATGTATAGAAGATGGAATGGGAAAGCATTTTCCAGAGGGAACATGGATTAAACCATTTAGAAGCATTAATTCATCCTCACAGTACCAGCCAAGAGTCTTCCTATTCTTTTTCTAGTAAAGTGACTTTTTAAAAGTTGCATGTGTATGTAGAACTTCAAATTCTCACCAGCTTACTTTTTATTACCTGTTTTCTTCTTCCTAAACTCTGGACTCACAATCTAAATATACTTTGCCTTTTACATATCTCAGAAATATTTGATTTTCTCTGTCTGCAGTGGTCTTTCTCTCCTGAAGAGAAAGTACAGGTTTTTCCTTCAAGTCCTGGTTCAGATGCTACCACCACAGAGGTAGGAATTAGGATTTCAGTGTTTTTACAACAATTAGTACATACTTATATTGTATTATAATAATTTTTATCCTCCCCCACACAAAACACCCTTGAGTTTCCATGGGTATTTTATCTTTAAGTCATCAAAACTTAATACACAGAGTTTAACTTCAAAAATAATTATGAGAGATTTTTAAAGTCCTTATTTCTGTTTTCCTCCTTGCATTTGTTTCTTCCACTTTTAATTGAATTTTATGTTCTAATAGTATGTTCTGATCTCAATTTTAGAAAGTAGGGGGTTTTTGCATTAATATTATTTTCACATAATATAGTAGAATCACGTTTTTAAAATAATCTTTTAACTATATCTTTTCAAAATTTTATCAATCTCTAACATTACTGAATCACAAATGTCTATTAATATTGTGATTATGAATTTAAAATATTTCTGTGACAAAAGGCCAGAATCTATTGCCCTAAGAGTAGTTCTAATCTGGATATATTTCAGTTTTTTAATTGATAAAGTTAACTTACTACAGATACTTTAATTTTGTTGAAATCTAAATCCTTTCTTTCACTAGGTGTATTAAATGCAAATGTTAGATAACACATTTTTTGGAGAAAGTAAGTTCAAAGCTTCAGAAATTAAAGCAAGAAAAAAGTAGCCCTAGGTCTATTAGCCTTTTCTTTCTTTGACTGCTAGGAAAATCCTGATTTCTATGACACTACTTATAATGAGGCACTCCTAGCTTGTCTAAAGAAAAATGTAAATGCTGATTTTTCAGCATAGACTAAAGTATAACTTGCTGAATTTTAGGCAAGGTATACTACAGATCATATTGTAAACTATGATCTGGTATTTTCATGGTTGGTGGTAAGAAACACACAGCTTTGGTAGGGTGATTTGTCTAAATTTGCAGTATGGCAGAGATATTCTATTCAAAGGAAAATATCAGCTATGCTTTACTTAGCACATCAGATGTTTTCTTCAGTTGTTACATACTGTTTTTCAAAACATGTTTGTCTTTTTACTTGCTTTTTACTTGATTTTTCTACTATAGAAAAATCATGCATAAAAACCTGAAACTTTAGATTGACAAACCAGAATGCGTATGCTTAAGATAACAGAATGAAAAGGGAGACAGCCATTCATCTAGATAATCTTAGTATTGGAGATAGCTGAAGTAGATAATTCTGTCCCTTCAGTTGCTCTGTGTGTGTGTGTGTGTGTGTGTGTGTGTGTTCATAGCTTGATTTATCTGAGCACTTGGCAACTTTCATCTCATGCTGGTTGTATTAAAGTAGCTATCAGAATTATATGAGGCAATTGCAAATAACAACTGGTTTTGTTGTGTTCTTTTGTTTGGGATTTTGCTGGGTAAATTTTGAAAGGAAAATACATGCCAGCATATGCCACATACAGTTAGTATATATAATAAAAATATGGCATGTTAACTTATTTTACATCTAGATTTACATTTACTGATTTGATCCAAAAATATTTTTTTCCAAGAAAAAGAGAACTTTTACTGTGTGGGATTTTGTAGAATTTTCCTTTTTAGATCAGGTTAATTTATTTTATTGACAAATATTAAAAGCCAGTCTCTTCTTTTCAGTTGTCCAGTTAGCAATTCTTTTACTTTTCTAACAACTCTTCATACTAGATTCTCTCTATTAAAGCAGCTGGTATAGTTTCTGTCTTCTGACGGGACCTTAACTGATATGCAGAGACTATTAATTTCAGATACAGGATTATAAAACAACAACTTTGCATCATAAAATATTTTAACAAGAGTCGTCATCAACTAGCATTCATTAGCAAATTAAGAATTTTTTCCCTGGAAAGACCAGAGTCTCAAAATCCTGTGTTTACAGTGCTTTTTGGTTAGTGACAACTTCAAACCTGTTTTTGCTGTGGGGATTTTCTAATATGGGTTCATCAGGTTAAAGCTGTTGCTTCATACTAACTGAACTACTGAAAAACAATGTGTGAGTAGTAGTTTTGAGGAGGAAACCAAGAACTTGGCATTTTTAAACACAACTTTTAGTGAAGAAAAGACTGGTTATGGGATGTCCATCTCCAGAAAATCATATTAATGACCCACGTGGATGGTTAACAAATAACGTAATTCCACACACTGAATATTGATCAAGGTGTGTTTCTGTTTAGGTGTCTATTAAAAAACAAAAATCAAATAACTTTTTTAAAAAAGGAGGAAGAAAGAAAAACTCCACAGAATTAATAACCTGGTTATTTGCAACTTCTTATAGAAAATAAATGTGTTACTAACTTTCTATTTGGTTTAATAGATGTATTTAAAAAGGTAGAAATGCTATAAATGTGGGATTTTCATCCTAATTTTATTTATTTATTTATTATAAAGATATCTTTACTGGTTTCAGAGAGAGGAAGGGCGAGGGAGAGAGAGATAGACATCAGTGATGAGAGAGTCATTGATCGGCTGCCTCCTGCACACCCTCCACTGGGGATCAAGCCCACAACCCGGGTATGTGCCCTGACCAGGAATCGAACCCCAATCGCCTGGATCCTAGGCCGATGCTCAACCATTGAGCCACTCCTGGCCAGGCTTTCATCCTAATTTTAAACATTTACTAGGATTTTGCTATGTGACCATTATAAAAGAATGCAGCAGGAGTGCTCTTTTAAGGAAAGTAACTTAATTATGTGTTCCTATAGTCCTTTGTACCCTTTCTTGATTATTTATATAGCTTAATTTTTTTTTTTTTGGAACTATAACTAGTTTTTAATAATTGGGAAGAATTAAGAACTGATTATTTATAGTTTCTTTAAAGAGATGTTATTTTAAAATCTTTGAAATACAGAAAGCCTGTATAGACTACATATATAATTGTAAAAATTTAATAATTGATAGTCTGTTTTCCTTATCCAGTTTTCCACCAACACAATAATGCAGTATTTTCACTTTTCCTTTCCGTTCTATTTTAAAATTTATGACACTGAAGTAACAATACTTTCATTATTTATACATGCCTGTCTTGCATTTGTGTTACCTTACATCTATATGTTGGCCAGATAAATAGATAACAGGATTGAGAGAGAAAAGATGTGCACTCCTTTAAATATCTTTGGGTCTTCCCTTCCTCCAGCCTGAATGGTTCAGTACAATTCTTGTTCTGTAATATTCCTCTTATGAGACACCCTGTCCTGACCTTAACTATTTGTAAAACAAACAGAGTTTACTGTTATCTGTTAATAAAGAACTCCATATTAAATAATGCATATATTTTATTATAACCCCATGGTTAATCTAAGCATCTCATTTTCCCTCATCCATTTGACATATTGGAATTTTTTAAATGCCCCCAACCTGTTTTTAACTCCTTCAGTCATTTACGTTAATGTACAGTACCTGTTCCAGTTTACACAGGACTGGAGGGCTTCCCAGTTGTGGAACTTTGTGTAAACTGTGACAGTCCCAGCCATACTGGGAGGCGTTGATTGGTCATCCTAAAGGAGGGCAGGAGATACCAAGAGAAGTAGAGAGGCTGAATATTAATAACTGTGAAATCTGCAGTTTGTTACTGATACTGATCATGTGTATCTTTGGCCACCTGTGGCTAACATAGTTTTAAGTCTTATCTTTTTAAGATTGTAAAAGGATGAAATTTTATTAAGCTTTTTAAGAGATTCCTGAATAAGCCTTTTTCTCTGTTCACACATTTACAGAATAGGGGTAGCATACTCACAGGGAAGCTGTGAAAATCAGGGAGTAGGTTTATAAAATATTTCAATATTAACAAGGTTTCCAGATATGCTAATACACTATGTATTATAATAGTTGAGTAGGAAGAAGTCATTTCCAAAGTCTTCTCTTTTATCCATTAAACTTTTCTTTCCCAACTCGAAGTAGGAGTGATAAACAGATACAAAGGCTAGTCTGTGATTGAGTTGATGTCCCCACAAAGAAAACCTGAAGCAGGAAGAACTCCCAAAGCAGTGAGTGTAGCATTTAGGAGTTAGGGAGTCTTTTCTAGGGTGAAGTATCTGTTATTAGTGGTTCTTATCTTCCTGAATAGTAATGTATTTATATTTATCATGTTTCTCATGGATGAGTAATATGTACCTCAAAGGTATAGTGAAGCATAAAGACTATTTTCTCATCTCAAAAAGCTTACGTGGGGTCAGATAACCAACATATAAGAAATTAACTATTATTTACAACACTGTTGTATTTAACTGTTATAGGCAATGATTCATGTGAGTACCTTCTTTCGAGTGGCAGATTTCTTGGAGAGAAAGTTTGGCAACCTCACAGTTGTATGATGCATAAATACAAAATCAGGTAAGTTTCTTCATTTTTTGTTTGATTTTTTTTTCCCTATGATGGGTCGTAATATCTAGTGGAGAAGGGTTGGTGAAACAAAGACAGTAACTATATGGTACTTCTATATATGATGGTGGTAGAGGATTGCTGAAGGAGATTAGGGGTGGAGATGAGTCCAAATGAAGATTCCTCCCAAGAGCATTAGGGAAAGCTTTGGCCAGGCTGCTTTAACTCAGGTGAGAGAGAAGCAGGCCCAAGGCAATAGCCCTTGAGTGAAAGACTCTTGCTTTGGAAGTTGGATACCTACACCTCATAGACTTATTCTGAAATAATGGATATAAAACGCTTAATATGGTTAGAGTTCATCTTAAACACTTACTAAATGGGGGCTGTTATTATTGGGAGTTAGTTGATTATACAGGAGCTGGTAGGTTAAGCAAATGAGGCCATCTGTTTTTAAAGCAAAGTAGTAACTATATGTATAACAATCATGTACTACTTTCTTCACAAACTATGTGCTTTGAAGTGCCAGTATGTTGATTTTATTTTAATTAATGTTTCTTTGTTGATTTCAGTGAAGCAAAGAACTGCCTTGTAGATAAACATATTGCATTTATTGGAGATTCCAGAATTCGTCAATTGTTTTATTCATTTGTAAAAATAATTAATCCTCAGTTCAAAGAAGAAGGAAATAAGGTAAAATTTGTCTGTTCTCTTTATTAGGGGTATTGTGTTCGAAGTTAACCAACTGAATAGTTTTAGGAGGAATGTGCCTTTTCACATCAATGCAAGGAAATATAAAAGTTTTACTATGGTTTTGGGAAAGGGAAAGGGAATAAAGGGGTGATTTGCTGTAATGGGGAGCATAAGAAAAAGAAGTGGTGGGTATTGGCAAGCCTTTTATTAACTTAAACTTTTAGTTTTCAGAAATAACAAATTCTTTCCACGGAATTTTTTTTTTATTTCTTAGGAAGAAAATATCCTTATTCTCCTTTTACTATTTGCCATGTATCTTTTCAGTCTCTTTTTTTAAGACATAATTGTAATCTTTTAGCTTGTACAATTTTATGTCTCCTTTCCCCACCACTTATCATAATTCGCCATATTATTATATAATCAGCATAAGTATCTTCATAATGCGAACATATTATTGAGTGGATATAATGTAAACTTATATAATCCTCCCTTTTAACTTTTTGTAGTTTTCTATTTTTTACTTTGCAATTTAAAAAGGACATTTTTAATTAAACCTTTGTGTGAAAACTTAGCTTTTTAAATTATTTCCTTAGGATAGAATCTTTATCATCCAAATATTAGGTTAAAGAATATAAATATTTTAAAAATTATTTACTATATTGGTAAACTGTTTTAATTTATACTTAAGCCATGTATGTCAGGGTCTAATTTTCTGCAGCCTTACTGCTACTGGGCAATCATGCTATACAATTAAAACAACAATGTAACAACAAATGTGTGCTCTTTTTATAAAAAATTTCTTATTTTAAAAGTGTATCTTCTATCTAGGCGTTCTTCTAGGAGAAAAACCAGAAACCAAAAAAGTGTGTGTGTGTGTCTTTGAAAACTAACAAGTATGAACATCTCTCTGTATGTGTGTTAATAATTAATTAGTTAAATTTTGTTAACTGTCTCATCATATTATTCTGTTTATCCATTTTTAAGTGATCCAGTGTTCTAATCCCTGTCTTCAACTGCATATGACTGGGAGTGGGGAATGGCAAGGAGAAAAGTGAAGTACAAGAAAGTTCAAAATTATAGGGGAAATATCTCCTGAATTTATGATGAAAATCTGTCTGTACACATCAGCTTGCCCTGTGGTTAGGAGTTGAAAAACTAGGGACTTCACAATTAGGACTTCACAAGTAGCTAGGCACATAATGATGATGGTAGTGGATGCTAAATTTTTAGGAACAATTTTTTGTGAGAAGAGCCCTTAGGCTATTAGAGGTTTTGTCCATAGGAAGGACTAGTAAAGATTTTAAAGCTGAATAATGGAAAACCATAAAGGCAACTTTGCATTATATTTAGTATCTATAAATGTAGTTTCCTTTTGTATTTATACACATGAAATTATACAGAAGAGTTGAAACTAATGACATGCGGTTATCACAGTTTAAACTAAAACACTTTAGTAAACTTATAAAAAGTAGAGAGATTTCTGATTTCAGAGGAACAGTTTTAATATTTCTAGGATTAGGATAGTGTGACTTTATGGAATAATGAATTTGGCAACAGTTAATTGAAATAAGTGTAATGGTTTAGTTTATAGCCAAAAGTAGGTACAATGTGGTACATTGTTTTCTGAGCCTAGTTATGACACCTAGGTTTCCAATTTTTATTTTCTAGAGGTTCATAGTTATCTCACAGTTACGAAGCAATTACATTTAAATTTATTTGCATTTGCAAAAAGAAACAAAGACAGTTTGTCACAGTCTTAAAGGGACAGCTAAGAAACTATGTGGTTCAAACTGCTAGTGGAACATTTGCCAAATTGTATTTTACTTGGTTCTCTTATCTCTGAACAACTTGAGGACAGAGATGATTATTTTTTTAAATTCTTGTGCCTAGCACATCCTGGCATATTATAAAAGCTGATTATTATTATAATTATTATTATTATTATTATTATTATTGTTGTTATTATTATTTAAGCCTTGGTATGGGTTTGTTTGGGTAGAATAGGAGTGTTGAAGATAATTCTTTGTTTGAATATGTTTCTTTTCTGTATTGAGGCAAAAAAAATTTTTTTTAAAAAAGCTTTAGAGCAGGACTTTTTTCAAATGAATACTTAATAATTCTTTGAGAAGCTCTGGTCAAATAAGTTTGGGCAGAGCTGGATATCATATCCCCCTCTTCAACACTTTTAATTTAGGTGAGGATATTAAAAACTTGAAAAGTCTTGCAGTGAAGAAACCTGTTTGTGTTGCTTCCAGCTGGCAGGCTAGATACTCTGGGGCCCCCTCTACCTGAAACCAACTAAATCCTAAATTAAAAAAATACTTGGTGATGTATTTCTAGGTTTTGAAGAAATGGAAGACACTCCCTATAAAGGAATAACTATGAGGCAAAACTAGAGATGGGAACACTAACGGTAGACACCCAGCAGAGACTTGGGTTGCCCTGAAGACAGATGCCAATAGTGGCAGTGCCCAGGATGCAGAAAACTTTGGGCCAGCATATTTCTCAGTAGTAATATTGGAAGCCAGAGGACAGTAGAATAATAGCTTTAACATTCTGAGAGAATAAGTTTCAACCTGGAATTGTATACCTAGCATACAAATTTCTCTATTCTTGAAATATAGGACATTGCAGATATGTAAAAACTTATGAGAATTTTTCTAAAAATTTTCCAAAGCATAAACTTCAAAGAGGAGGGAAATAATTCAGGGGGAAAAAAGATCTCAAATATAAGAAACAATGGTTAAAGAAAATAGTAAACATGCATGTAAATCTAAATAAATAGTGCCCATATAAAATAATGTCTTTTTTTTTTTTTTTTTTTTTTAGCACGAGATAACGATTATTTACTTATTTTTATACTTTATAAAAAGATGGTACTAGAGAACTGGCCAATAATAGCATATAAGCCAGAGGGAAATTATGCCAAGTAAAGTGTTCTAATGTCCTCTTTACTCTTTAAGGTGTTATCTTAGTGTAGAACTTAATTTAAAGATGCATAGTAAAACTTCAAGGGCAAGGATTAAAAAGAAGGGATTAGGTTGTGTAAGTTCCAAACCAGCAGAAGAAAAAATTAAAACCAAACTCATCTAATACCAAATATGTTTTATACATAAACACATATATACATACAAGTATATATACAGAAAATACTTATATGTACATATAAAAATTGGTGTTTACATATATTATACATATATGAAAAATCTGTATATGTGAAGGAGCCAGAAATCAAAAAGTAAGATAGTGGAAACATTCATAATCAAAATAAGTGCAAGTAGTGTAAACTTGTCAACTAAACACAGATTTTCAAATTGGTTTTAAAAAGAACTTTGTTCTGCTTAAAGAGACATACCTAAAACAAAAGAATATAGGATAGTTTTAATTAAAAGTGAATATGATTACTGTGAAAAGTTGACAAATTCTTCATTATGGAGAGAGAGCTGTTCACTACTCATGCAGTAGGACGAGCAAATAAATTAGCCCATAGGACATTATTCATATGCTGACTTTATAAATTCATAGCTCAATACTTAAAGAATATACTAAAAATCCAGAGAATATATTTTTTCAAAGCATACATGGAAACTTTTTTTACTATTGGGCCATTAAAGAAGTTCCAAAGGTATCAAAGAATTGGTATTATTGTCTTAGTTAAGTTCCTGTCTTCTAACTTAACCTGATAATAATTCTAGGAATCTACAGTAAATATTCTTATTGGTGAAATGTTAGACACATTTCCATTAAATTCGGGAAGAAGACAGGAATGCCCATTATTGCTGCTTATATTCAATATCATGTTAGCCAAAGAAAGAATTTAAAGATGTAGGGATTGGAAAGAAAACTTAGAATTTCCTATGATATAATTGTCTATAAAGAAAATGCTAACGAATCTCTAGAAAATTTGTTAGATGTAATAAAAATTTTAATAAGATAGCTGATTATAAAATGAATATACAAAAATTAATTATAGTAACTCAGTAAAGCTGTTAATTACTTTCATTTAGACAACCCAGGAATATAGAGTTCAAAACATTATTTAAAATATATTGTATGCAATAATAACAAAAACTGTAGTATGTAGGAATAAACATAGCAAATGTAGAAGATCTGTATGTAGAAAAGTATCATAAAACTTTACTCAAAAGATAATGTAAAATGATATAATTAAATGGAAACTATAGACTGTATTCTGGAATGGGAAGGCTCACTATTGTAAAGATATCAGTTATTCCAAAATTGATCTATAGGTTCAACATAATTAAAATAAAATCTCCATAGGTTTTGTTGTGGAACTTTACCAGTTGATTCTCAATTTTATATGAAGGGCAGTGGACAAATAACTACCAGTTGATTCTCAATTTTATATGAAGGGAAGTGGACAAATAACTAAGATAGACTTGAAGAACAAGGTGGAAAGGACCTGTTCTCCAATATCAAGACTTGTTTTAACTCTGTATTAAGACAGAGTGGTATTGGTAGAGCTAAACCAACGAATGGAGCAGAATATAGAATTCTAAAATAGACACACATCATATAGACTTAATAAGTAACAGATATACCACTGAAGATTCCTGGGGAAATGAAGGTCCGGTCAATTAAAGATAGTGAAACAATTGGTTATGTATTGAAAAAATGTGAAATTGTACCCCTGCCTTATATTTTATACCATAAATTCATTTCTAGATGAATTCAGACTTAAATGTGGAAGCCAAAACTTTGAAACCTTTGGAAAAAAAAGTAGGATAATATCTTGATTATCTTACGTAGGGAAAAGTTTCTTACATAAGAAACAAAAAGTGTTAACCATAAAATAAAAGATAGATAAATTTACATATTTAAGATTAAGAGTGAAAGGTTAACGCGGTGGTGGTGCTGGGGCAGGCTAACTAGCCATGTCAGACGGGTTAATAAAGAAAAATTAAATTTATTAAAAGGGGATGGGGATATCCAAAGGGAAGGGCTACACAGTGCTGGGTCCATGGTGGCAGCAAAATATACTTGGGACAGTGAAATAAAAAAGAGCATAGAAGCAGCAACAGGAGAGCCCAGGCTGGGCTGCATTGGCTCACTGAGAAGTCAGAGAGAGAAGGGGACCTTGGATACAGGTTCAGGGGGTAAGCCCGGGACGAGCTGCACTGCCCATTGCTCTCCTGGTTGCAGGTGTCCTGGGGTCCCCTTGGAGGGATGGAGATTGCACTGGCATGCTCCTCTGGTGGGGAGTATGCGCTGGGTTCTTTGTCCTGAGCATATTTCTCTCTCTCCTGTGGGTGGAAATCTTTGGGGACGTCTCAGGGGAGTGTCTCAACAGAATATTCATCAGCTTTCCAGGGGTGCTCTTCCACTGACCTATTGATGCCAGGGCAGGGGTCATCAGTCAATGTGTCTGGTCCTGAGGCAGCCACGGTGCCACTTTGGTTTTGCTGCTTTTCTGGGCTTGGAGCAGAAACACAACTGAGGCCCAGATGTTATCTTTAGGGAGGAAAAGCTCAGGGAGTCTAAACCGCACAAGCAGCGATATGCTGGGGCAGGATAGGTTACCTTGGGGACAAGGTTCTTGTTTTCCCAGTTTTGCCCCTTGCTAGACATCCCGCGCTTCCTGCCCTGGTGAGCTTCTGTACCTGGCCCATCTAACAAAGAGTATATGTTCATCAAAAGATACCTTAAAGAAAAAAGGCTAGCTATAAACTGGGAGAAGATATTTATAACATCCAACAGATATAAGGAACCACGAATTAATAAAAAAGATGACACAACAGAAACAAAGGGGAAAGGCATGACCAGGCATTTCACAGAAGAAAACAAATCCCATGTAAATCTGAAAGATATTTAACTAAGGAAATGCAAATCAAGACCATAACAAGATACTATTTATACCTACTTTAGTGGCAGAAATTAAGTTTGATAATGGCAAAAAATAAGTCTGACAAGATGTATTAGGGAGTCTGTGTCTCATAAACTGTTGGTGAGAATATGAATTGTTACCAACACTTCAGAAAATAATTTGTATTGTCAGAACTTTTGAATAGTCTGTGAACCTTTAGAACAGCGATTTTCAGCTGGTGTGCTGCAAGAATTTTTAAAACATGCAATACCTAATTATTTAGTCAAGGGCACTCACCTCTTTTCCCTTAGATTGTCAAGTAAATAAATGACAGCAGCCAACACGATAGCCATCCAGTGTGAATGAATCAAAATTATACCTTTTTTTTTTCTGTCAGATTGGCAAAAAATATAGTGTGTTTTTAGGTTTGCTGCAGAATTTTAGTAATTAGTTTATGTGTGCCATGAGATAAAAAGGTTGACAATCACTGCTTTAGAACTATTATTAGGGAAACTCTACACATGTAGTAAGAGACATATGCATGAAGGTTACTACCAGTGCTGTTTATAATCTGGATTTGGTGCATTGTATGAAATGTCCTAGACTCTACAAAAATAATAAATATAATATTTGATGTATTTTAGTATTGATATACTAAATTGATATATACATATATATATATATGTTTTTAAAGGCCAGGGAATATTCTAGATTAAATGAAACTAAAGAGACGACAATTAAATGTAATACCTGATTCTAATTGAATTCTAAATTAAAATATAAAACCTATAGAGAGGACATAGAGAAATTTGAACATGGCCCGTATGTTAAATTAGATTATTTTACCAATATCAAATTTCCTAGATAGGATTGTAGTGTTACAGTTATGTAAGAGAATGTTCATATTCTTAGGAAACATATTTCGCTTAAGTATTTAAGAATGAACTGTTAAATCTGCATTTTACTTTCATATGGTTTGGCAAAAGAGGAAAACTGTATGTGTGTGCAGAGAGGGACATAAAGCTAGTGTGAAAAATATTAGTTGGTAAAGGGCATTTGGGTGTTCATTATAATTTTGTCAACTGTGTTGTAAGTTTGAAAATTTTCAAAATTGAAAGTTGGAAAGTTAACAATGCTAAACAACATGTCATTTAAGGCTGCATATACTGCTGACAAAACTATATGATAAAAAAATAAACAAAATTCCAGATAACTGTTTCCTTTGGGTAAAGCAAGGAATAAAGAGGGAAAGAGCCACATATGTTGTTCAGTGCTGGTAATGCTCCGATTTGTGCCATGGATTCACAAGTGCTTATGTGTTTTTACTATGCTTTGTGACTCACACAAATGTGTCATGTTCTTTTGTATGTATTAGATGTTACATTAAAACAATAAAGGAAAAGAAGAGATTGAGTTGAATTAATTTAACTATGCAAAGGGAAGAAAAAGAAAGTTCATGACACTATTTCCCTGAGGAAAATTTTAACAAAGTTAAGATAGGGAGGAGGAAAACAGAACACTTGTATGATTTTGTCTGACCCAGTATTTCCCACACTTATTTGGCAAAGGAAACTTTCATATAACACACCTTAAGGGTTCCATTGAATTAATAGTCCCAAGAGTCCTTCCAGGAAATGATGCTTGAACAGGACTAATAAAAATTTTAAAAGTTAGCTTGTTAATAAAGGGAAACTTTATTTCACAGAGATATAAAAATAAATACTATCTGTCTGGTTAAATTAATGAAAACTCATTAACTTTGGCTTTAGATAGAGAATGAGCTTCTAGCCCCCACCACACCCTCTGTTTTTAACTCTAAAAGGATTTCTGTTTTTTATATGAAACATTTGGTTATAAGAAGTTGTCTCCAGATTTTAATTTTTTCTACAACTGGACTATTTACTGTCTTCAGAGTGAAACCTATAATAGCCTAGAGTCATATGTCTATTCTGGTTCAGACAGGACCTATCCTTGTATATTGGCGAGAATGGATTAGATGTTGCTGCAGCAACAAACACTCTAGAATTTTAACAAAACAAGTTCATTTCTCACTTAGCACCGCATGTCCCAGAAGGGTTGGCAAGAGGCTTTGCTCCATGCAGTCATTCAGGGATTCCTGCTGTGTAATTTTCACCCTCTTCTAGTTACACCATTTGGATCATTCAGCCTCCTCAGTCTCTGCATCAGGTTAAGCTGGAGACCAGAGAGTTGCCCTGGGAAATTCAGTCTGGAAGTGACCCACATAATATCTAGCCACATTATGTTGGCCCAGACTAGCCCTATTGTTCTAATTGGAAGGGACTCAGGAAATGTAGGGAAGCAGTCTGTCTCTGGCATAGATAATAGTACTAGACTAAATTGGGATCGTGGCAAGCTTGGCAAAATGATAATTTATATAGGCGTGTTCATATGGCTTGCTGCTTGTTTGTCGTTGAGGTTTTATCTTTGAACTATATCTTTGATGTGGAAAACTACGTATAAACAATTTAACTAGTGTCACTGACTTTTTGGTATTCATGCAGGTCTTTTCTCCTTCAGGTTGAATATAGAGAACTGAGATATGATGCATAAATAAACCAAAAACAGCTAAAGGGAGAATTATTTACATAAAATTTATACACTAATATTGCTCTGTTTTGTATCCTTTTTTATGGCAGCATGAAAACATTCCTTTTGAAGACAAGATTGCATCAGTTAAAGTGGTAAGTTCATGTAATAGTAAGCTAAGTGTTATATCAAAACTATATTTATTGGTTAACTTATTTACAGATCAGCTAATACTTTGTATGTACTAAATATATTTCAGTGTATTGAGAGTATATAATAGTAAAATAAATGTTTGTGTGCACTGCTTTGTGTAATAAAATAGAAAATTTGGTCTCTCAGATTTTTATCCAGGAAAAAATAATTTTATACATTAATTTGAAACCAGTATTTGTTCAAGATTAATGTCCATCAAAGCATATATATAAATTTTTAAATTCCCAGTCTCAGTGACTTCTAGATACCGAGAATACAGTGAGGATCAAGAAAACAATATCCTAGACCTAATGGAACTTGCAAATCATTATAGTCCTTTACATACAAATAAATGTGGGGTAAGGATGGCAAAGGGGAAAAAGTGGGGCATTAGAAATGTACAGAGCAAGAAATGAAAAGTAGTTTTCCTCCTTGAGGAAGTGATGTTTTAACTGAGGCCTCAAAGATTAGTAAGAGCTTGTCAAGCTCAGTGGAAGAGTATGAGCCTTTTAGGCAGAAGGAACAGTACATGCAAAGTCCTAGAGAAAATGAGCACATAGAGCATTCCAGGAGCTGAATGAGAACCGAAAGGGTACATGGAGCAAGGGGGAAGGTGGCAGGAGAAAAGGCACAATGTCTAGGCAGAGGCCAGGTCATCCTGCACCTTCTTAGCAACTTTAAGGACCAGAATCTATTCTGAGGGCACTTGAAATTCCTGGAATATTTAAGCAGGGATGGGGCAAGGTCAGATTTTAAATTTCTGAAAGATCCCTCTGACTAAAATGTAGAAAATAGTTTAGAGAAAAGCAGAAGTGGATACAGGGAAAACTATTGTGAAATGCTTGCTGAATTGAGATGGGAGATGAAGTGACATAGACAAGGTGGTGGTTTTTGTTTTTTGGGTTTTTGAATTTTTTTGTAGCTTGAGATAGATTTAATTAGGAAATGAATTATATGTGTTGTACGTATCTTTTAAATAATATGCATTTGGCTTTAGTTTTTGAGCTTTGTCTTATGGTACATTTATTTTAATACAAGTTTTTAGTAATTTTTTTTCTATTACAATTTACTTTCACTATTATTTCGTATTGGTTTCAGGTGTACACCATAGTAGTCAGACAATCATATACTTTACACTGTGTTCCCCCCAATATTCCCAGTATCCACCTAGCACCATACATAGTTATTATAATATTATTGCCTGTATTCCTTCCATATGCTGTATTTACATCCCTGTGACTATTTTGTTTCTACCATTTTGCACTTCTTAATCCCTTCACGTCTTTCACCCAGTCTCCCAACTTCCTGCCCCTCTGGCAACCAATGAGGTGGTGGTTTGTGGTGGTTTACTTTTATGTGCTCTATAAGAGATACCTTAAGCCTTATTTTGAATGGTGGATATAAAAGTTTCTTTGACCTTTTTTTTCCTCCTACATTTCTCTTAGGATTTTTTGTGGCATCCAGAAGTTAATGGTTCTATGAAACAGTGTATTAAAGTGTGGACTGAGGTATGTATTGAAATTATAGCTCTTTCTGGTTTTGTGCAACCAAATTTTATTTATTTTATTTTAAAGAATATTTTATTGATTTTTAGAGAGAGAAGAAGAAAGGGAGAGAGAAACATCGATGTGAGAGCACAACATCTATTGGCTTGCACAACCAAATTTTAAAAGTTTATGACCATCCCTTGTTTTTCTCCCCTTACTCAGCTGTCTCACTCTCCTATACTTTATACAACCTTCTTGATAGAAACTAAGCTGTGCTGGATTGATTCTATCACTTTACTGACAAAATAAAGTATTTTGATTCAGTATCTCTGCTACCCCCATTCTATCCCTAAGGCTATTTCTGTAACTGCTGTAGCTCAGTGAATTTATGTTTGGTTTTAGGTGTTAATATCAATGTGCTTCATTTTAGAAGAGAGTTTATAAGAGATGAGTTAAGCAGACACTAGATTATTAATAATATCCTTAGCTATATTTCATGGGGTATAGATTTACTTTACCTGTTTTTGATTACTTCTAAATATTTCAGTGTGTATTTTCTAAAAATAAAGTATTGGGTTGAATTTATTTTGAAGGTAGTGGAGAACCATTGATAGTTTTAAAAGGAGAATAATGAGATATAGTGGGGTAGCCGTGGGAATTAAGCGACACTGTGAAAAATGCAGCAATTTGAATTTAATTCTGTAGGTGGAATGGTAGTCATTAAGAAGTCTGAGCTACTTAGATGGATTTGGGGAGTCTTGAGTGAGGTGGTATTTGAAGTTACTTGAATGGAAGAAATTTAATAGGCAGAGAGTTTAGAAATTAAAGAATAGAGTTTAGGAATGAAACTATCCAAAAGATTCTGAGAAGGGGCAGTGAAAGGGGTGGAGGTAAAGCCAGAGAATACCTGTCATGTAACTCAGGAAAGAGTTTGAAGAAGTGGACGATGAGTGGTGTCACTTTAGGAGCTAGGTAGGGTAGAACACAGGCACAGGATTTGTCAATCCAGAGTTCCTTAATGGGTGGTAACGCCCCAAGTCAGAACGTGGTAAATTGAGGCATAGATGAGAGAGAAAGAAGTTGCATAGTGAAGGCAGAAGGCTCTTTTGAGTAATCTGTTGGTTAAGGGTGTGAGGGGAAAGAATATGAGAGTGAGGCAAGGTTGAAGGAAAATTTTTTGAAGAGAAAGATGATAGATTGAGGGACAGCAGAAGAGGGGAGAAGGGGATGAAATTGATAGTAGGAGAGTGAAAGGAAGTCATGTGAGGATACAGTCCCAGAAGTAAAAAGGAAGGGGGTGTAGACACAGAGTAAAGGGTTAGCCGTTAGAAGGAATTGGGACATATTTTCTTGACTCTCTTGTCACAAGAAGATAGGCTGGGTGAGTATATGGGTGAAGTTGTAAGAATGGAGGAAGGCAAGAACATACAGCTAGATGAAGTCTATTTTCTCTTTGAAATTTGAGAATTAGACTTTATGCAGAAAATGAGGGGGAGGAAAAAGGGACCAGTATAAAGAAAATATGATTTGGGATAATCACTGTGAACAGTGACAAAAGGAGCCACCTAGGAGTGAGGGAAAAAGTTATAGTAAAATAACATTGTAAAATGAAGCACTAAATACTTTTCTCTTAAATTAGCTCATTTTAATATAGATTCTTGCCACTCATGAGACAGGCAGGAAGATATTATACATATCTTATAAAACAAAAATACAGACTCAGCAAGGTTGTTTAGGGTGCTAGACTGGAAACAGAAATATTTCTGAAGGAAAATAGGTTAATTTTATTTTTGTCTGCTTTCATAGTTTTCTGTGAAAGTATATATTACCTTTATAATGAGACACTCATTTTTATATGTGGGTCAGATGTTTTTCTATTTTCTTATTTTTAATTGTTCCTTATGCACATGATTGTAATATCAAGTCTTCTGTGTTGTAGAAAGTGCATTGAGGTCAGGAGTCAGAAGGCAGCCTCTGGCTTTGCCCTGCTAGCTCCAGCAGCACCCTCTCAGCCTTCCTGAGCCTGTGCCCTTGTCCTTTCAGACGTGCTGTAGTTTCCTGCATTATCTCGCAGGTGCAAGAATCTATTAAAATAAGCTAATTTAAGAGAAAGTACTACATAATTGGTAGTTTAATTAAGAGTACAATTTGCATTTGGTGAAGATTTCTACCAAACTTCTCCTTGTTTTTCCCCCCACGTTGTGGTCTATAATAATTATCAGTTTATTTTGTTAAATACATATTGGATTTGGCTTTCCCAAAAGATTGCTTCTTTAGGATACTACCTTATATTTTATTTAACACTTAAACTGCATATTCCATGAATACTTTTTAATTGACTGGCAAAATATACTAGAGCTTTACTCTTGATCAGTTTACTCATCATTCAGAATAATATTAGGCCATGTTAGATTTCAGTAGCATTTTTATTTGTTTGTTTTTTGGTAAGGAACACCAAAGAATTAACCATACAAGCCTCATGCCATCCTGTATAAAAGGCATTGGTTATCCATCTTGTTATAACAAGAATTCAGTAGGAAACTCTAGAAAATTAAAATGTGTTTAAAAGGAGGAAGAACTTAAATATAAGGGAAAGAATTAAGTCATGTTACTTGTATTAATTCACTGAGCTAGATACAACACTATTATAAAGATTTTTCTTTCTTTAGGATTCTGTTGCAAAACCCCATGTGATTGTAGCTGGAGCTGCCACAGTAAGTTATTATCTGTATTCTTATATAGTGATTTACTTTTCAAACTTTCTTAGCACGTCTGTGCTAAGAAAAAGTTAACTTATGTTAAATAGATTCTTGATTGTACTTATATTTTAATTCCTATTTCTATTCTAATTAATGAGACTGATGAATTTTAATAAAAAGATATGGATGAACTTAGAAAATTTGGTGTTAAATGTCAATATTATTTTATATCTAAAATGATATTCTTCTTGAATGTTATACATTGACAGTCTAATTTTATATCAGCTTTTTCTGCCTTCATATATTTTATGAAATAATGTGACCATAATTTATTCTAATATTGAATAAATATGGAAATTATTTTAAAATAATAACCTTTGTTACAATCGAGTAAATTACATACCTTATTTTCTCAGTGGTGAGTAGTGAATTAATGCTTAATTTTTACTTCTTCTTAGTGGTCTATCAAGATTCACAACGGCAGCAATGAAGCACTTTCCCAGTATAAAATAAACATTACCTCCATAGCACCACTTTTAGAAAAATTGGCAAAGACTAGTGATGTTTATTGGGTCTTACAAGGTAAGGGATGAGTAATGAAAAAATGTCATTTTGTATATATTTTGAGTCATGGGATTTTATTATCTCCTATTTCAAGAAGCAAAGTTATTGCTTTATGAGAATAAATTTTAAAATAAGGTTTGCAAAATTAGAATAAATTTTAGTTATTTGCTTTCCTCTTTTCAACTTAAGGAATAGACAGACTAAGAAATATAATAAGTTAAAAATAAGTAATAAATAAATAAAAATACCCTCCAAGGAGCCTCAGCAGGCAGAATGGCTGTAGAATATAACAAAGAGAATACATTCTAAAGGCAAATGAGATGTTTGCCTCCGATTTTTTACTTCTTACAAAGTATACTTATTGCAATTGAGAAATATAGGGAAAAAATTACTAAGTCTGTTTCATAATATTACAGTCATTGGAAGTAAATACTATTTGGAATTGACAGAATATATTTAAATTCATACCACCTAGTTTATACTTGATAATGAAATTCTTTAAGAGAAAGTTGACATTAGATCAACTCATTTCAGGAGTTTATTGAATGTCCATTATTTAATGCCTAGCACAATGTGAAATGCTTTGGGTTTTTTAGCAATTCAAGTTGTTTGTCAGAAACTCTTATGATTATTTCCAAGTTAAGTGTCAAGCTGAGAGGAATAAAAGGACTGGTGATAATCTATTCCACAATCTCTATTTAGAGACTCATTGTTAACCTTTCTCTCACTAAAATGAGAAATTTAAATTTAAATTATTTATGAGACCTTGATCCTCAATAATACAACCTCTTAATTATGTGAACAAAGTTTGCAAATTAAGCAGTGACAGAAGGAAAAAGAGACTGGCTGCATTAGCAGTCTCCTACAACCCAGTTTTAAATTCCCATTACCCGGTATAACCCAGCATCCAAAAACTTTAAACTCTTAAGACATGCTAGAACATAAAAATGAGGACAATATTGATTTATTAATTGAAAAATTGAATATAAGATAAATCTATTGCAAATCTTGGCCAGCTTTACTTTAAAATGAATACTAGGTGCCTGGAATCCTCTGAACTTTAACAATAGAATATGAAATGCAATCTGCTAACTTGCATGATCACAATTTCTACCAATAAGAAGTTTTTTAAATGTGTTTTTTCCTTTTTTATTGAATTTATTGGGGTGCCTCTGATTAACAAAATTATACAGGTTTCAGGTGCATGACAACACATCAGCTGTATACTGTATTGTGTGTTCACCAGCCCGTCAAGTCTCCATCACCATCTGTGTATCCCCACTAAACCCTCTTCCACCCCCTCCATTCCCTCCGCCAGCAGCTACCACACTGTTGTGCCTCTCCATGAGTTTTCTCTCTTTGTTTTCTTATTTGCTCAATCCCTCTACCCCCATCACCCCCCTCCCCTGATAGCTGTGAGCCTGCTCTCTACCTGTGAGTCTGTCTCTATTTTGCTTGTTAGTTCATTTTATTCATTAGATTCCACATATGAGTGAAATCATATGGTACTTGTCTTTCTCTCACTGACTTATTTCACATAGTAAAATGCTCTCCAGGTCCATCTACACTGTTGCAAAATGTAAGCTTTCTTTCTTTTTTATTGCCGAGTAGTATTCTATTGTGTAAATGTACCATAGCNGTCCATCTACACTGTTGCAAAATGTAAGCTTTCTTTCTTTTTTATTGCCGAAGTAGTATTCTATTGTGTAAATGTACCATAGCTTTTGTATCCACTTATCTACTGATGGGCACTTGGGCTGCTTCCAAATCTTGGCTATTGTAAATAACGCTGCAGTGAACATAGGAGTTCATATATTCTTTCAAATTAGTGTTTCCAGTTTCTTCAGGTAAATGCCCAGAAGCAGAATCACTGGGTTATCAGGCAGTTCCATTTTTAATTTTTTGAGGTAACTTTGTACTACTTTCCACAGTGGCTGCACCAGTCTTCATTCCCACCAACAATGCATGAGGGTTCCCTTTTCTTTACATCCTCGCCAACATTTATTTGTTGATTTGTTGACATGTGTGAAGTGATATATTATTTTGGTTTCAATTTGCATCTCTCTGATGATTAGTGACATTGAGCATCTTTTCATGTGTCTATTGACTACCCGTATGTCCTCTTTGGAGAAGTATCTATGTCCTCTGCCCATTTTTAAATTAGATCGTTTTTGTGGGTTTTTTTGGTGTTGAGTTTTTTAAGTTCTTTATAATTTTTGGATATTAACCCCTTTATCAAATGTATCATTCGATGGGTTGTCTTTTCATTTTGTTGATGGTTTCCTTTGCTGTGCACAAACTTGTTTATTTTTTCTTTTGTTTCCCTTGCCCAAGGAGATATATCAGAAAAATATTGCTATGAGAAACAGCCAAGATTTCACTGTCTGTGTTTTCTTTTAGGATTTTTTTGGTTTCGAGTCTAACATTTAACTAATCCATTTTGAGTTTATTCTTGTGTATGGTGTAAGAAGGTGATCTAGTTTCATTACTTTGCATGTACCTGTCCAACATTCCCAGCATCATTTGTTTTTTTAATAATGTGTTTTGTGTGCAGATCCTGTTTATGAAGATCTATTAAGTGAAAATAGGAAAATGATTACTAATGAGAAGATAGATGCCTACAATGAAGCTGCAGTCAGTATTTTGAATAGTAGCACCAGAAATTCTAAATCAAATGTTAAGATGTTCAGTGTTTCCAAATTAATTGCTCAAGAAACCATCATGGAATCTTTGGATGGCTTACATCTTCCAGAATCAAGCAGAGAAACTGTAAGAATTCTTGTATCCATCAATAGATAGAGACTGTAATATCTAATTGTATAGTAACTATATGTCACTATAAATGGTAATAAATTATTTTATTGTAATCTTAATTACTTGTAGCTATTCTATCTAAACATACATTTAGAAATAATTTTGGTTTCATCACGTAGCTGTATATATATGACAGTTTTTGATATTCTAAGAGGGAAAGAAGTTACCGGAAGGAAGAAATGAAACTTCATTTTTTGAGCGCTAGTCACTTTTACTATACCTTGTCTAATCAAGAAGCTTATAAGTTCTCAGGGTACTCATATTTGAAAACTACAGTTTTATGTTCTTGCCTTAAACTGACAAGATTAAGCTTCTATGAAGAATATATTTTTTAATATGTAGAATAATTTTGATTATTTTCTTATAGTTTTTATACCCAAAACACTATTCAAGGTACATAGTAAACACTTAAAAAAAATCCAGATTGACAGATGGAAAGGGATGTTAAGTTAAATATGAAAGAGAACTGCATAATTATGAATTTTCACAGATTGTGCAACAGATATTATTTAGAGTTATTGTTTTCTTATAAAGCAGTGATTCCTAACCATTTTGAGGATCATATAGTCCCTTTGAGTATTCACTAAAAAGCAATGGTTACGTTCCTCTCCTTCAGAAAAATGCATGTGTGTATATATCCACACATGATTCTCCATATACCTTTAAGGGGCTTAGGCTTAAATAATATAATCATCTTAGAGTTCCAAAAAGATGTCTAAACTATAAAGTTTTTATAAAACTAGATTTGACCAAATCTTCAACTAGACAGAATCTTGACAGCTGGCCTAGAATATTTTTATTGTAATGAAACCCTGTTCAAGATGCTGCATTTTATTTAACATTAGAAGTCTTAAAATTGTAGAATTCTAAGTGGTTCATAAACTGTAGACCAAATGAAAGTCATATTATGAATATTGTTAGGTAAGAATCGATTATTTTGTGGCAGTTGTTTTACATTCTTTTTGTACATCTAAAAACTGGAATTGTATCTTAAGTATCTTGGTATCTTCTGTATTGAAAGTCTGCTCATTAAAGTTCTTTGGTCTTTGACACCTGTCACTCTTTTTTTTTAACCGAAGGCCACAGCCCATTAGCAGCCATGAAATCAGTATTTTTTCTTAAAAAAAGAAGAAAGAAAAAAATAGAAAAATGTCAGAGTACATTGTAAGTAGTAAGGATAGGTATTGTTTCCTGTATATGTGTCTGGGTCACATTATAAAATGAATTTTGATTATAGATCATAGCCCAAGAAGTTTGAAAAGCCCTGTATTAGCTATTACAGATTGAAGGAATAGCATTATTTGCATGAGTGGTTGGGAATTGGTAGCAAAAAGTACAAAAGCATTTTGGTTTCAGTGCTGAAAAGTCAGTAGTATTCACAGGAGAAAATCTAATATGAAACACATTACTGACAAGATAATGACCAAATAACTTGATTTGTTCACAGAATGCAATGATCCTTATGAACGTGTATTGCAATAAGATCCTGAAGCCAGTAGATGGTTCCTGTTGCCAACCTCTGCCTCCTCTGACGCTCATGCAGAAGCTAGCTGCTTGTTTTTTCTCCTTATCTATTATCGGATATTTAATTTTTTATATAATTCATCGTAATGCTCATCGGAAGAATAAGCCATGTACTGATTTGGAAAGTGGAGAGGAAAAGAAAAATATTATCAATACCCCTGTATCTCCGTTAGAAATACTTTTACAATCTTTGTGCAAACTTGGCCTGATTATGGCTTATTTCTATATGTGTGACCGTGCAAATCTATTTATGAAGGAAAACAAATTTTATACACATTCAACTTTCTTTATTCCAATTATCTATATCTTGGTTTTGGGAGTATTTTATAATGAAAATACTAAAGAGGTAAGAGTTGTTTTCTTTTTTACTTCATGTTATCTTTATCTCATTACAAACTCTAGATTAAAAATAGTATCATTTATTAGGCCAGAATATACAAGCATGTTATATAGGAGAGGACAAATGAATATTGTGGCTGTACTTCACTTAGTGGACTCTGTTGCTGTTTTGAAACAGTTTGGAGGAAGTTCAAAGAGTTTTGTGAAGATTGTTGAAAAGTTGGAAAATAATGACCTGTGAAAAAGATGTCATGCTTAGTGTTTTTTTTGCCTGCATAGAGATGGAGAAAGTGTAGCAGCTTCCAATTTTATAATGGTCTTCAAACATTACTCACTGTTATCTTCTGTAAAGCAAAAATAGATAATTGCATTAATAAATGCCTGTGCACAAACATTTATATTTATAGTGAGACATATGTACACAGAAATTAGAACTTACCTAATAATGTGGGCACTGTTTATACTATCTGAATTTCCTATTTTAGCATTGCTGTAATTGCTCTGAATGTTAGTGTAATTCCATTACAAGGTATGATTTATTTGAATTAATAAGTTCTATTGTAAGAAATAACTATTATTTGAGAATGATTAATTGGTTCTTCATCTCAGTCAGAATATTCTAGGGAAAATAAGCTATAATAATAGAGCTTTTTTTTTTTTCCACAATAAAGTGTAAGAACTATAAGATCTTTTCTAACTGTGATCCTAAGATTTTCTTAAAATTATAAAAAGCCATTTTTTTAGATTTAGAAACACATCTGTCATACTTTAAATGTAATCTTAACATAAAACCATAAGTATCAACTTAAGTACTATTTAAAATGTTAGTTTTCAAATTCATTTTATGTTTTAAATAGTTTATTATATCTTTTATCAAGAAATAAAATGATCATCTTAATAGTTTTTTCCCCCCAAGTTTCTTTTAACAAAAGCATTAGCTTTATTTCCTATAAGAGTAATTTTAACATACTTAGTATAAACTGTCCAAATAATAGCTTCATGGTGAATTTTAAAACATTTTGGTTTTTTACACAGACTAAAGTATTAAATAGAGAACAAACAGATGAATGGAAAGGCTGGATGCAGCTTGTGATTTTGATTTATCATATCTCTGGAGCAAGTACAGTAAGTAATTTGAAGTTCAGAAAATATAGGAAATAATGTCACTTTAATGTTTCTTTAAGGGTACCAACTCCTTTGTTTTATATTCTCACCATTTAGAGACCCTTCTCGTTTCCAGCCCAATCTTTCTGCCTTCCCATTCTTCTACACCTGACTCCATGAATGTGTAGTTTTAAAAGCAAAATCACTTTTTTAAAAGGGAGGGCAATAATTTATTTGTATTTACTTGGCCTTAATTTTAATGTAGTAGAAACAGCTGATAATCTAAGGGCATTATTTCATCCCACCCTGTTGAACAACTAATTTAGTTATTAATAGTCTTTGTAGATGACACTTAATTGCAAAAGATTTGGAATAGGCAAGTTACTCTCAAAGGAAATCAAATTAGTTGATTATATTTTATATTCTACCCTTCACCATATTTTAGGAAGTTTGACCAACTATCTTTATACTTTTAAAGTTTAAGAAACTTAGAACTCTTGCCCCAGCGTTCAGAGAACTAAGGTACTGATGGCCTGCTGTTGTCGACCATGTCGGAGGTACCACACTTCCTAAGTATTATCTTCCCTGTGAGATAGGGATCCTTCCTTTGCTCACCCGGTGCCTTCTGTACCTGGGTAAATTCATTTTTTCCTCTCCCTAAGATTCTTATGGTCTGGGAACATCTTGGATTTGTCATGGGTAGAAAATAAATATATCAGTTGTAACATTTTAGCTAGGTTTAGCTAGGGTGAACCTAGGTGTCTGATAACCACTTTTCACATAAGCTTTTATAGTGAAGATACAAACTGATTTCTGTAAAATATGTTTTAAAAATTTAAGAAACATTTCTTATTTGGGAACTACTGAATTGTTTTTTTTTTGTTGTGCTGTTTATATAAAGCACACATCTTTAAACAGTATCTGAATCAATGATAAACTAAGGTGACAGGGGACTGTTGCTCAGAAAGGAGTATTTTAAAATTTTCATAGCAGCAGTTAAGAAGGTAAATAATGCTGGGGTTTTTCAGATATCTCTAACAACTTGAAAATGTTATTTTTTATTAAGTCTACTGTCTTTAAAAGTTGATGATTTTAGAGTGGTTTGTTTGCAGGGCAAAAGGCAGAGAATGAATTTTTCTTTTTACTGAAATTATATGACTATGATATGTGTATTTGTGGCAGCAGTGAAATTCCTGTAACACTGAAGCTGAAGGGACCTATTGAATTCATGTAGCCATGGGAGAGCCAGGACAGTCAAAGAGATCCAAGGCAAGGAGAGATGAAGATAGTAAAAGTGTATAAGCCCAGTTCAGAATTTATAGGATAAATTTGGCAAATTCTCTAAAAAAGTAAGTAGAGATGCATATTGAATCCTAGAAATATCTCTTGACATAATGAATAAAGATTAAATTAATTTGAGAGGGAAAAAAGGGTTTTAAGAAAATGCCACTTAGAGACATAATTAATTGCTGACATATTAAAAGGTGATAATGGTGTAAAAAAAATCAGATGGAAAGAATTAATGGCAGATTAAGTTCCTCAATTCAGTGATTCCAGAAGGGATTGGATCATAAATGGATGCAGGCAATTTGGCATTCTGTTATAATCATTTGCCAAGCTAGCATTCTAATACATCTTAGACTACATCCCAATACATCCTAAATGACAATTGTTTAAAAATCCCTGTTCTGGAAAGACATACTTTTCATTAACAGATCACTTGTTATGATTAATTTACATATCCTTGTGCTTTATACTGTAGGCTTTTGTGGTTAGAAATTACCTGTATCTACACCAAGCAAAGCACTATTAGGGTGGGTTTTAACATATTTTGGGACTTGATTCTTGGATATTTAAGGGATTCCCTTAATTAAAAACTTATTTTAACAGCCACGATTATTTTAATTACCTAATCTTAATGTTTTTTATTTTGAGTAAAATATATCAAACTTTAGTTGTGCCATGTTTTATACTAAAATAGGTACTATCTCAAAAATTAACAAAAAATTCTTAAACTAATGCAGATGGTCTGGCAGATTGCAATTCCTGGTGTAAACATTCTTTTAAGACATAATTTATATCTAAAATGGATAAAATACTATGAATTTAATATGGAAAGTACAGAAAGGTAGTTACAGACAGTGGATGATTTTGTATTCCATTGTGGAAGTTTTCTTTTCAGAATTTGTAAATAACTTTTATGAAGGGACCTGAATCAAAGGTCTTGAGGGAAAATTTGTGGGACTAGAAAAAGAACAGAACCAGAAGTCAGCCTAGCTATTCATTTTAATAAAGTTGGAATTTCAAATATATTTTTATACCTAAAATTTTTTTGTAAGTAATACTTGACTCAGTAAAAGATGAAAAGAAATACAGTTTAAATTAAAATCGACTAAAAAAGAATGATAACTAAGTGCTATGTGTGATCATTGATTCAAGGTTCCTAAATAAAAAAATATATTTTTAAATCATAAGGTATATTTCTGGGACAGTCAGGGAAATTTGAGTATACATTGTACAGTAGATACCATTATATATTCATATTAAACTTCTTGGGAATGATAATGAAATTATGGTCAGGTATTTTTTTCTACTTAGGAGATACTTGCTAAAAGATTTAGGGATTATGTCATGTGGTCTGCAATATACTTTTAAACGGTTCAGCATAATATGTATATAGATATCCATTGTACTATTCTTGCAACTTTTCTGTTTAAAATATCCTAAAATAAAAAGTTGAGATATTACATGAAATTTGTAATAATTATTAACATGAAATTTGTAATAATCCAGCATTTTCAGGAAGCTGGCAAATTGTTGTGATAGCTTTTAATTGCATTTAAATGAATTGTTTTACTGTTGAAATATAAGAACCACCTCCTACCTTTGTAGGCCTAGCCCCAGTCTTGAAGGGAATTAAAAAGCATGTTTTATGGAGAGTGGTTAAAGTAACTAGTAATGGTTAGCCTGGGTTTGACATCTGTTTTTTAAATATTTGTAGAACTATTAGATGTAAAAGTGATTAGGCCTGTGCATATGGCTCCAGGCTAGACTCTTCATCATGGTAACCACTAGCCACAGGTGACTGTTGAGCACTTGAAATGTAGCCAGTAGGAAACTACATAAATGCTAAACTACGTAAAGTGAAACACGAACCAGATTAAGTATGATTAATTATGATAAATGCATGCTAACTTTAAAAACTTAGTATAAAAATAATATAAAATATTTACACGTTGGAATGATAATATTTTAGATATATTGAGTTAAGTAAAGTGTACTGATTAAAATCAGTTTCACTTGTTTCTTTTAAGTTTTTAAATGTTCTGGTGGCCACATTAAAAATTTACTGTGTGGCTCAGTTTTATTTCTATTCCACAGCACTGCCCTAGAGGACTGAAGTTGGTAGTTGTACACAGAGTTAGATTTCAACTTTTCATGAAAAGCAACTGTATAGCAGTTAAGGACTGTCTAAAACTGGAATGGATTGTCTTTGGAATTTGTATGTTTTGTACTACTAAAAAGTGCTCAGATACTTGAAGAAAATATTTTAGAGAACATTCAAGAATGAAGTAAGGGCACAGGTTTAGATTAGATAACTCCTGAGGTTATTTCAGCAGTACATTTTCCACCTTCATCCCTGTGATTCTACTATGTTACACCTTCATTGAAAATTTCTGATCTAATGATGACATAAAACATTTAAAAAGAACTAATGATGAAGAGCAATAAATAAAAACTCTGGTGTATAGATTGTTGGTAGTCTAGCAGCTCAGAGGAAGAAGAAATAACATTCATCAGCAATTGGGAATTTCAAACATGGCTCTGAAATAGAATAGAATTTGAATAAGCAAAATGTGGTTGGAGGAACATTCCAGGATAGAAGAAACAGGTAAACCAAGGAGCGGTGACAAGGAAACACAAGAGGGCCCATTTAGGAGACAGAGAACTAACACTTTGGCTCGAGTCGTGGCTGTGTTAAAGAATTTATGAACTATTACAGATTCAGGGTTTTTTCTCTCCAGAAAAAAATACTATCCCCCAGAAAAGAACAGGATGTGTTCAAGGTGCATTCAAGGATGTGTACAAAGAATGCATACGTCCAGGGCCTTAGAAAGTCTGTTTAAGGTATCTGCTTAAACAGCAGTTGGGGAAGACATATGTTAACCAAAGTGACTTTATAATAAGTGTTAATGGTGGATAATTACGAAGGTGATCAGATGAGTCTATACAATAGAAGCCAAAAAATATTTATGTAGATTTAGTAATTATCCCTAAAAGAATGGCCTTAAAATTGCAAGGGTTAGATGTCACTGAACAAGCCTTTAAAAGATAATTTTTAAAAACTGTATACTAGTTATGTTTCAGAGATCATGAATATGCTTCTAAAGGACCAATGGTTGGTGGATAAGTGGAATGACAGTTCTGAGAATCAGGACTTGTAAATGAGATCATATTTCCAGTGACTCCCGTAAAATATAGATTAGAAATATAGTATGTTTTATTCAACCTCAAAGTGAAGATGTGATGCTCTGAAAAACCATGGCAAGTGAGTCTAAGGATCTTGGTCATAATGAAACAATTTATGTAGGTGTATAAAATAAAATTATTCTATAAAAGAAGAGTGAAGGGAAATAATATTTCTAAATTACGTTTGCATGTTTTTAAATATGTATGCTTTGCTAAATATTATAAGTAGTCATGTGATCATTTTATTTATTTAAATATAGAGTCTAAAGCCTCTATATTTAACAGGGCCAAATATGTAGGAATTTTTGTTTTTTATTTTCATTGGGAAAGTGTGAAATCCATAGTGGTGATTAATAATTTGATATCATATATTTAGTTCCAACTGGAAGAAATCTATGAAGTGCTTTTATATTAATCATGTATTCCTCACAAGAACCCTTTGAGGAAAGAGGTGAAAGTCTCATTTTGCAGTTTAGAAAACTCAGACTTAAAGTCACACAGCTAATACATAGCAGAGCCAGAATTTGAATCAAGGTCTTTCTGATTCCAAAGTCTACATTTTTAACTCCTGCTGTAATGCCTAACTTTTGAGAAAAAATCTTATCATTGATATAATTTCCAAATGATAACAATTATCTATTATCTTGGTTAAAAGTACTAGTTATGATAATTCAAAATATAGTTAGGGCCAACATATATTTTAACCTATTTTTGTCAACAGTTTTTGCCTGTGTACATGCACATGCGGGTTCTGGTTGCTGCATATCTATTTCAGACGGGCTATGGGCATTTCTCATACTTTTGGATCAAAGGAGACTTTGGAATCCATAGAGTATGTCAGGTAGGAAAGCATTCAGTTATTTTCTTTTTCTTTCAGTTCAACATGCTTTTGTGCTTAACTGTTGATAAAATATAAATATTGTCATTATAAGGCCATGAATAATTTGGATTTTTGAAATAGCACTTTAAAGTTGTATTATTTCTGTGTTCTATGTTAATAATTTGAGATAAATAATTTATTACTGAGGCAAGGGAAAAGATAATTAGATGAATGTATAATAAAAACACTGATACACAAGGGAAAACATTGCTGATTCACTTTAGGTTTTAGTTACCTAGAATTATTATTATAGCCTATGTTTTCTCTCTCTTAGTAGAGGGTTAAATATTTATTAAGTTTCTACATTACTCTAGGCAATTTCTGAACATTATTTTACTTATCCCTCATTAACAACCCTGAGTTATGATCTTCATGTGTACAGACAAGGACACTGCGGCTCAGAAGTTAAATAATTTGCCTATGGTTATATAGTAAGTGCTGCAGCTCTATCAGTCTCTCATATTCTTTGTTCTTTGAATGACATCACACTGTCTGAAATGACTATTCCATAAGTCCCAAAGATACTTTTAATTTGAGTAATATCATTTTGTATCTATGACAACTCTCAATTTAATCTCAAATGGGGTAAGTCAACATCAAATAGAGATGAAATGGACACCTTTTCTTGAGGTAATCTAATCTCTGCTTATGAATTGTATCCCTAGGAAGGAGATTTATGATTTTTTCCGTACATTTAACACGATGGCAGTTGTAGTCAGAGGACAGCTCAGGCTTGTGCTTTGCTGGGATTTAGTTAATATAATGATGCATAAATATTTTATATTCAACTCTTTACAATGATTGTAGAACAAATACAATTTTAGGGATTAGTAAAATGTCCACTTATTATTCTAGTCTCAAATAAACATTTATACTTTGTCAGAATCTGTCTTTACTCTTCATGAATATTTGGAATGAAACAATTTTCTTTTTTTTAATAGGTCTTATTTCGTCTCAATTTTCTGGTAGTGGTGTTATGTATAGTAATGGATCGGCCTTATCAATTGTATTACTTTGTCCCCTTGGTCACTGTATGGTTCATAGTCATATATGCTACTTTAGCATTGTGGCCTCAGATAATCCAAAAAAAAGCAAACGGTAAATATACTCTCTTACTTATGTTAATAAATATATTCTTTCAATGTACTAAATTTCTTTTTCGTTGCTGAAGGCTATTATTTTTATTGAGACATGTAAACAGTTAAAATTTATGTGTAGTATTGACATTTCAAAAGTTTGTTCTTAAAAACTATTTCTAAAATGCTGCAGCTAAGTAGTTCAAATAACACAACAGTGCAGAATAATAGTTTGTATCTAAATTATGTATCTTTTTTAAATTTAAATTTTTCAAAGCCATTTTACCTGTTAACTAATGCAACAGTTTTCAGTCTTGTACAAAGCCAGAATGGAGAGAGCTAGAAGAGAGAAAGGAAAGCCAAGTAAGGGCCAGCTCTGCTTTATTTGGTTTCTTATATATATTGAGATTTTGAATAAACATTAATTTGCAAAAAGGCTTTTTATGTCAAACAAGTTTAAAAGCACTAGTATAATTTATCTTCTAGAAAATCCTTTAAGCGGTTATTATCAACCTGTGTTACCTATAAGGAAACTTAAGTGTCCAAAAGTTGTCATCTTTAAATTTCACATAGCCAGTTACTGATAGTGTTCAAAGTGAGGCCACTGTCATTTATCTTAATGCCCCCCCTTTAAGGTCATATCATTAGAATATTTTTTCTTTATGGAAAAATATTTAAAAATTTTTAATAATGTACTTAACCAAATATTGTATATCAAAAATATTTTCTATTGACTTCTGTTATAATTATCAAATAAATTTTCAGGAAAGAATTGAGTTCCAGCCTTTAATAAAGTCCATTAGTGTCTTTGGACAGTCTCTGTAGTTTAATTCCTTGACATAAACACGAAGTATTAATCAAATGAATAATCAGTGTGTATAAACTTTGAACACATGACTTCAAACATGTATGTGTTAAAATATGTCTTATGGTTAAATCCTAGTCCATTAGAGAGTTCTTAAGCTCTCCCTTTAGAACTTGAATGTTTAAGCCGTCTTCCCTAAATTAGATTCAACATGAGTGTCTGTTAGAATTACATTGAACATATTGTTTCAAATTTTGTTGTAATTTTCAGTAATGAATAGGTATAATTGAATTCAGGAGGTGTTTTCAAATATATTTATAGTAGTCGAAGAGCAGGTGTGTAGGGTGTCCCTCTGGTGTATGTTGTAGCCTCATTCCTAGCGGGGACTCGCCACTGTTTTCCTTTTTGCCCTCCTTGTAACTTACGCTGCTTAGATGTATTTTGTGTAACTTATAAGCAGCCTTAAATTATGTTAAGAACTATGTAGCATATTACTATGTTAGATAGTATTTAATATCTTTTCTTACGTAAATTTACATTTTTTAGTAAATTAAATATTTTCTCTCTTAGGAAGTTGTTTCTGGCATTTTGGCTTACTGCTGAAACTAGCTGTCTTGCTGTTATGTATATGTTTTTTGGCATACTCTCAGGTTTGTACAGTCTTTTTAGTTTATATTTTGTTCTATTTTATTTGAGAGTTCAAGTCTATTAAAGTATGTGAGAAGAGTCAGAGCTTTTCTTTAGCTTCATTTTTTAATGACTGTAATAAAAGTGTCACTCTGTAGTTGACTACTCAATGTGGTTCTTTTGAGACCTACTTTTGTTACCCCTGTTTTGTTGTAAGAGCAATTTAAAGCTCTTCCTCTGGCAATTGTTCAGAACCCATTTTACTTGATCAATCAAACGTTTATTGAATGCCTCTTACAAGACACTACTCTAAGTGGAGATCAAAATTCTCCTGACAGAATTTGCAGCTCGGTTTGTGCATTATTCAGTGCATCAAAGTGTGACTTGATTTTTCCATAACTGCACAGAGTAAAATTTTGGCAGATAGTAAAACCAACTTAGGAGCAAAGGGATTTGTATATATGTACTATGTTTAATTAAAAGTTTGGTCATTTTCTCTCAGCTACTTTAGCAAGGTGGTGAACTGCTACCTGCTGGTCAGTCCATCAGGCAGACGTATCATTTGGGCAGCATGATATTTACAACAAAATATTTTAATTTCAGTGCCTGTAGTTGTGACATATTCTGCAGTTTGCTCTTGTCTCCCACACTCTGTCTTGTACCTCACTGCATCAGGTATAAATGCCATACAACCTGTGTGTGTGTGTAATTCTATAACGCTGGGTTCTTTGCCTGTTTGTTTTGTAGGCTTTCTGATTTGTAGGCTTACTTATTTTCATACTTAGAAATAAAGCATTTATTTTTCTGCTTGACCTCTAAGGTTTTTTGCAGGAGATATATGAAATAATAAGGAAACAATAGGCAAATGTAAAAGAAATAGCCAAGTTAATGCAACAACTACTTAACATTAAAATTCCCAACACTCTGTGATGCATCTGAGGGAGAGAAAGGAAGGTGGACCAGAGGTTCAATAGAGGGACTAGGAAGGTTTCCCTGCCCTGGATTAGTGTTTACCCCTGCACAAGAAAAAAGTACATAGCCCAGTATAGCCCAATGTCTTTCACAAAATGGGTGCTCAATAAATACTTGTTTATTGATCACATAAGAAACAAATTTTTAATCAGAAATAAAGTACATTATAAATATATCACATATAATTTATAAGATCATATCTAATAGCTGTATACCTATTAGATCATATTTCTGTATTTCAAATTATATGCATATATGATACATAAGTACCTTACATTGCAGGTTTTGTTAAGAATCATCCTTAATAGTCTGAGGCATAAATAGGATCTATTTTAATAAGCTGTAAGCATTTTAAATTATGTCATTAAAAAGAGAATATTACATTTTATTAAAATAATAAAGTTTTTCGGCCTAAGCATTCAGCATTACCTATAATATAATAGCATTTTCATATTTTTCTTAATTTTATCAGCCTTTTTAAGAATTGTGATGTTCCATTTTTTTATGCTGTGGGGTAGGTCTCACAGTGGAGTTTTCCTTAATAGAGTTTGTCGTCATTCTTTAGTCTGGAAATCGAGGTTTTTGTTCTCTGCTTTGAAAGACTTCATTAATGTGCAGGAATGTACCCAAGACTTCTGCCTCTTCATTCTCAGATTTTCCAGGCTGTCAGGTTAATAAAGGGTACAATTCACTAACTTCACCAAAGTGAAATTGTAAACTTTGTTTCAAAAGCTAGTAATGGCACTTGAGTATGGTTAATTGATTAAGGTGACTAATTCAGAGAATTCTTTTAACTCAAATGGTTAATTACAGATTATTAAGGACATTTAGAGAAAAACTATTTTAACCTTAACCATCATTTTTCTAGGTTATTTATACCATATTGGCTGAAGTCTTTTCTATTTTTTGTGTTTTGATGAGTAAACATTAGCTGTTTTGTGTACTAAATTTAAAATCTTAAATGGAATAATTTTCCAATTACCAGCTTGTTCTTTTTAATTTTTTCAGTATCAGTAGCCTTTCATGTGCAATGAAAGTAAGTTAACAAAAATGTTTTAAGTCATCTTTATTAGCCATTAGTAAAATAAATTTATTTTCAAGTGAACTGATGTTTTTAAGTGAAATAAAGAGAATCTAAAAACTGTGAGTGATCCTTATATAATCCTAGCTTTAGAAAACTATATTTATAATGAATTGCAAAGCAAGTATTGACTTGTACTATCTTAATTTATTTTCTGGATTCCTTTTCTTAGGGTGCATTTGAGAAGATCTTTTCTCTTTGGCCATTGTCCAAGTGTTTTGAATTGAAAGGAAATGTATATGAATGGTGGTTCAGATGGAGGTTAGACCGTTACGTATGTATTTACTTTGTGATCTTTTGCCATTTCCTATTGTACTCCTAAAAAATTATTTGGAAAATTTTAATCTAGTTTTATTTACTTTTGTAATAAGGACACATGTTGATTTATTAAATCAAAGCCACCCTGTCCCTCTACTTTTTTATTGCAGAGAAAGGGAATGCATGTGTATGTCTATCAGCAGAAAAATACTGTAAAAATGTTGTCTATAAAGTGGCCTTTCTTTGAGTCATAATTTTGACTTACAGGTGATCCTTCATATATATGCTTCAGCCAATCAGCACAGTATGTATTGAGCCCCAATATATGTTCTGGTATTGGTGTTGTGAGGGATATATTAGAGAAAGAAGACATACCTCCAGGCCTCTTAACCTTACAATCTAGTTTAAAACCCAAGATTACTACTTATGATTGGTTGCTACACTACACAGTATGAATTTGGGGGTAGAAATTTGCAAAGAAGAGAGAGCAGTGTCATGGATAATTCCATGAATTTAATCTTGAAGGATGGTTAAGATTCAGTTGGCCAACGAAATGTAAAATGTCCAGCACAGCATTCGGAAAATAATAGGCACTGAATAAATATTAATTACCTCTCTTTACTCTTTTCCCTTTTCGTCCCATCTTTCACTTATCCATTTTTCATTCAACAAATGTTTTCTTGGTGCCTATTTATGTGCCATTGCCTGGTTTTCAATGAACTACACTTTCCTGTGCCATTTCTAACAAACTGCATTTCATTTCAAAATCATGTATTAATTTATATTAATAAAAAGCTTTGCAAAGGTCTTCTCATCAAATAATTTTAAATGCTCGACTTTCTCATCAGAGCAGTCTACTATGATATGGTAGTGCACATCAAGCCTTAATTTAAAGAAGAAAGCTTTCTGGTCCACATGTTTTTCACTCTGAGTGCATATACTCCTATTTAAAAGTATGAACTTGGTGTTGTTATTGTTGTGTGTTTTATTTGATTGAAAGAAGTATCAATATAAGATGTTTTGTCTTGGTTGAATACAATTAAATTTTATCATGCGTCTTCAGAATAGTTTTTTTATTATTTTAAAATTGTCTTTATTTCTTCACTTGCTGCTGAAACTGCTCAGTATGAGCCAGTTTGTCTCATATTGTTACAAGAGATGTTTACTTGTCCATTGCTGACAGTTTTTAACAATCGTGGGCTTTATTTCATTGCTTGAAGTTTTACTCTTGAAGTTTAAGTCCTTAGACACTCTGAAACTTTAAGCTTTTAACCTACTTACTTTTATACATATTTTTCTCATTTACCACATTTTTTGGTATTTATTGGAAAGTAGCTGTTTAAAACAAATTTTTTCTCCTTATTTTTCAGGTAGTCTTTCATGGAATGTTGTTTGCTTTCATTTATCTGGCTTTACAGAAGCGTCAAATACTTTCTGAAGGAAAGGGTGAACCTCTTTTTTCAAACAAAATTTCAAATGTTCTATTGTTTATTTCAGTAGTTTCTTTCTTGGTAAGTTTCAAAATATAACCTTCTAATATTCCAACATCCTAATGGGTATAGAGATTTTATTTTAAGAGATAGGAATTTAATCAATTATTTTTAATAATCTTTTCTTTAAAATTTTTTTCTCTTTATTTTCCAATTGAATACAAATTCTGAAGTGAGTACATACACACGTTAAATATGAAGAATAACTGAAAGCTAAGTGAAATAGGAATTTTAAGAATTGTAATAAACTTGGGGGAAAATACAAATGTCAGGTGTTTGAGGTAAAGTCATCACTGCCTCATGGTCACTGTTCCCAGAAAAGCATAGACATAAGCCCCTCTCTCTGCTTTCTTACGTTTGGGCAGTTTAAACACCAAAACAAGTGGTGAGCAAGCCCATGGAAAGTTTTCACTGAAGCTTTTTAAATCACATAATGAAGTACAATGTTATAAATAAAGAAAACTTCCACACTTTCTGAGAATGCTGCCTCTTTAAGGCGTAACTGTATTTGAACCGATCCATGTGTTTTTTGTTTTAGACCTATTCTATCTGGGCTAGCAGTTGTAAAAACAAAGCCGAGTGCAATGAGCTCCACCCATCTGTTTCTGTGGTGCAGGTAATTATCTTGATTTGGAGAAATTGTTTCTTAATTCTTGGTAAGAACACAGTCTGTAGCAGCACAGAAATTTGAGATCATACTCTTTAAAGTGTAGGTGTATTATTTAATCACTCCAAGCCCTACTTTCCTCTGTTGAACAGGGATATTAAAATCTCCTTTAAAGGGTCATTACATTAAATGTATGGAAATGATCAGTATTTGTCATTTAATAGGCTTTACAAAATGTTAAGTGTGTTTTTCATATTTGCTTTTGACAATTTTTTATACATGTAACAAATATGTGATGCCTAGTCTGTGCTAGATATTATGCTGAAGGATACAGTGATAACATACGTTTACCCTTATTGAGCCTACATTCTTCTGTTAGAGATAATAATCATATAATTACAAATAGAAGTATGTGATGCAATAAGATACCATCATGAGGGGATATCACCTAGTTGGGGTTGGAGTGAAGGCCAGGGATGATTTCCCTGAGAAAACTAAGCTGATTTGGAGGGATGAAGGCACAGCAGGCAGCAAGAACTTAGGCCTGTGGGGGAAAGGAGCATATAACACATTCAAGGAACTTATTCTGGAAGGCCATTGGGGCTGGAGCTCAGAACGCCCAGGAGGACCAGAGAAGTATGTGGTCACATTTACATTTTTGCAGAGACACCTCTGGTTGCAGGTAATAGTACATTGTGATTACTATGGTGATGATTAAGAACAGGGTGCTTTGGAAACACGGGACTTTTCCTAACCCATCTTGATATCACAGCAAAGTTCTTGGAGAAAGCAATGTCTAAGCTGAGGCCTGAAAAATGAGTAGCCCAGCAAAGAGAAGCAGGGAAGAATTTCTAGAGGATCTTTGTGGAAGAAGCAAAACTATATCATGAGGTTTTAGAAATTTTGCCACATACATATGATACGACCTCTTTCTACACAAAGGGCCTCAAAGTGGGTTCATATTCCAATAAACATAAAACTATTCAGCCATGTACTACCTAATATCTGCACTGCTATGCAATATACAGACCACATGTTTGAGAAATCCAGTTTGTATAAAATCTAGAACAAACATAATTTGCTAATACTTTATTGAAAAAAACATTTTGTGCGTATCAAGTTTAAGAATATAAAGAATAAAGTTATGACTTGGAGGAAAGCAAAAATGATATTAATAAACAGATTATTAATATGTACCTTTGTGTTTTTTTCCTTCAGATTTTAGCCTTTATCCTAATAAGGAATATTCCTGGATATGCCCGTTCTGTTTATAGTTCATTTTTTGCTTGGTTTGGAAAAATTTCATTAGAGGTTGGTACATTAATATTTTGCTCTATCTTACACAGTCAAGGGTTATATATATGCTTGTGTGTATGTGAAAACCTGACATTTTCTTTTAATATATTTTTTTAAATTCTCACCTGCGGTTATGTTTTTACTGATTTTTAGAGAGAGGAATGGAGAGATAGAGAGGGAGGGAGAAACACCGATGTGAGAGAGAAACATTGATCGGTTGCCTCTCGCACACACCCTTACAGAATCAAACCTGAATCTTAGGTATGTATCCTGACCTAGAATCGAACCCACAACCTTTTTGGTGCATGGGACTACACTCCCACCCGGCCAGGGCACCTGACATATTTTTTAAATCAAAGCTGTGTTATTTATGGAATTATAGGGAAAAAAGCTCAATACTTTCAAAAGCAGTAACATATTGTAGAATTTTTTAAAGCTTTATTTAAATGAATAGACATAGATGACTTTCAAGCACAACCAAGATGCTAAGATCAGGAGAGAAAAAGTGACAGATATAATGACATTTATAAATAGATATAAATGAAATCAGGCTGAGGGGATTTCAATTTGTTCATTTCCATTATTAAACATGATATTACTGGAATTTAGGTTGTAATGCTTATCATAATAAAATATACCTTTATGACTGGAAATGTTGAGAAAATTTTAAAACGCATTACATTTTGTGTGTAATACCTGATATGAAATTATTTACAAAATCAGTTTAAAGTAGATTTTGAAATATATTCTGAGTGTTCTGGGCTTTATTTGAAATACAATATTTTGAAATAGAATTCATATTGTAATCATAAAAGATAAATTTTAGGGCATATGATTTATTTAAAAGATACGTTTTTGAGTATAAGATTCACTAAGTTGTCTTTTAAAATAGGGAAATAAACTTCCCTTATAAGTTCTTGAATAAATGTTCTATTATTTTTTAGAATTTAGATTACATAGAATTTAAAATTCTTGATCATGAATGACTTACTAAGTCATTCAGTGGACTAAAGAATATTTCTTTTGCCAGCCCCTCAATATTTAAAGCATGAGAGGTTTTATCAACTTTAATTTAATTAATTTACTATTTAGTATTTCTGTTAAAAATACAGAAATGTCCTAGAGCTCATATTTGTCAAAGCGGCTCAGGTATATTTCCACTCTGATATTCTGAAGCAATGTGATGAGCAAAAACACATCTGCAATCACAGTCAAAAGAAGTAGTTGTGCCTGCAGTATATATACTCACAGAACTTGAAGTACATTTCAGAAGCATGTGAAAATGTAGTTCAGAACATTTATTTGGCCACACATAGCAAACATGAGGACATCTTAAACACAATGCCATTTCCCACCAAACTTCATACATACATAAATATATTCACAAATACATACATATGTGGTCATGCATAGTACACACATGGGTGTACACATAGGTTTACAGCTAGGTAAACACACATACACAGTCTTTGTTTGAGATCTGAATACGGGGGTCTAGATATCATTCTGTCAACTGTCTTCTCTGTCATGCAAAGAAATTTCATAAAGTTAGAGGGCTTCTGTGGTTCGTTTCTTGAGGACTTTGAAGGAGTGTCTCAGCAAGTCATCGTTCTGGAGAGCAGACTGCAATAGACTTTTCAGTCCAGCAGTGAAACAGAATTAAATGGCTTCAGAAAAGCCTGCTAACATAATTATGCTATCAAATGTTTAAATTAGGAAAAACTGTTATATATTCATGGGCCTTCTGTACATCTCTAACTTTAAATATCTTTCCTCCTAGCTTTTTATCTGCCAATATCACATATGGCTGGCAGCGGACACAAGGGGCATCTTGGTACTCATACCTGGAAACCCTATGCTCAACATCATTGTCAGCACTTTCATATTTGTCTGTGTGGCACATGAAATTTCTCAAATCACTAATGATCTTGCACAGATCATTATTCCTAAAGATAACTCATCTCTGTTGAAAAGGTTGGCATGTATAGCTGCATTTTTTTGTGGACTCCTCATTTTAACATCCATTCAAGATAAATCAAGACATTAAGTTCCTAAAATTCTAAAAAACTTTAACTCTTCAAGCTAACTTTGTGTCTTCTTAGAAGGGAAAAGCATCTATCTTGAGATATAATTGTATATGTAAATAAAACTTGTGTGGTAAGAGGACAGCTCAGTGATATCTGTTGAACATGTCTGGTTGTATATACTAGAAATGTACATATCCGATGTGAAATACTGACGCCAAGTGCATTGTATAGGACTGCATGTGAAAAGTCTTTTCTATGGATCTATATTTCCATTTATAAGTGATTTTAAGTTAACATGTGAAGGCAGGGAAACAATTACCTTTCCAGTAAAAAAACCAGATGATTTAATTAGCTTAGTGTCACACTGTTTTGATATTTACTAAATTTGTGGTAATAAGATTGTCTACACCTATATTCATCATGGAAATTCCTATTTCATTGAATACTTTCTCACTCAAGAGTGACTGCAGTGTTGTTTTCTTACCATATGTGCAATGATGTGGAGTGATAAACAGTATGCGTTTAATTTATGTGCTCTTGTTCTGTTGTTACGTCTCCTGACATTTTTTTTTCTAACTGTGATTTTCAGGTATACAACCCTAAGTCTTTGTACCCTTTGTCTCACAGAGTTGTTCTAGGCTCCATGACAGGGTTTTGTCACTGTTGATGTTCCTTTTTTTTTTTTTTTTAATAAAAAAGCCAAATTTTCTTTCCAATTCAAGCATCACCTGTTTCCTTTCCTTAAGCTATACCAGTGTAATACCAGTTACCCTGTGGATCCATTTAATATGTTGTCCCCTGACTAATTTTGTATATTATTTCCAATGTTTGGAAAGCTCTTTATAACCATTTTGTTATTTCTTATTATGCCCCCCTATTTTTAAAAAATATTTATCAATCTAAACTTGTGCAGTCTAGTAAAGATTCAAGTTGTTATGATTGAGATGTACGACCATCTTTTAAGTAAACCGGTGACATTGGACAATATATGTTTTTTATTTGGTTTGGTTTGGTGGTGTTACAGCTGTTAGAGGTATAAATTTATTTATGTGTTGTACAGATTTTATTACGACTTAATGTTTGAAAGATTGCACTTGTTTGCTCTTACTATGTGTGGGGTAAAATATATTTTCTGTTCATCATGTATGAAAATATGGAATAATTTAAACAGTAAATAAACATTCTGTGGATGCTTATTTTTGTATTGGCAAAGTATCAATTAAACTATATGTGTTCTTTTTTTAAAAAGCTGATCCATTAATGATTGGTTTCAATGTCTAATTCATTTCTTCAACTTAAATTTGCTTTTTCAAACTCAGTGTAGATCAGTGTGATCCCAGAAAAAGGAATAATTTAGTTATCTGAGCTTTGGAGAATAACCTGCCTTCCTACCCAGCAAGTTTAAGCATTATGATTTATTAGTAGTCTTACTTGAAGATTTTTAAATTTTAACTATTATTTCTTTAGCACTGGATTTATGTGCTAGTGATATCTTCTCATTAATTGAGGACTATTTCTTAGACAGAAATGTGTGTTCTTTCCTTTTCTCTCTTCTTCTGCCCTTACTTAATCTTTTGACATTTCCCAGATAGACAATTGTAATGATTCATTGCTCTGCCTCCTAGACTGCAGCCTTCTAAGTAGAGAATAGTATAGTTATAAATCAAAAACTTCCAAGCACTGTGATCACATTATTCTTGCTGGTGTGGCTTGCCAATGAGTAGAGTGCATTTTAATTTAGCTTGTAAGTTTTATCACCTGAAAAAGATTCTTCCTGATGAAACAATTGAAAAAGAAAGATGACCAGTATTTCTAGGTTTTAGAAGCATTTATGTCTCCAACAGTGATACCTACATGAATATGTTTTCTCTCCTTTTGGAACTCAAGCCTAAAACTTAACTGGTAAACCCTATTTCTTCATCACATGCTCTTATTTAATATGCCCCACTGTTTTATTTTATATATAGTTATATAAAATAGTTAAAACATGCATTTGTAATTAAAACACATTCTAGTTATATTTGATTTCCTACATGAGTTTTTATGGATAAGAGGTTATTATGGTAAAAGTTGCCACAATGATAGCATCTATATATGGTGTATGTTTTAATATTTTTTCTGCATTGACTCAGGTGCATTCCTCAGTCATACCATTCTTCAGAAAAAGATGTTTAACAGAATATTTAGATATGCTAAAATTGAGATAAAACCACAGAGGCTTTCTAAACTCAGATTTTCTGTAATATAAATCACATTGAGAAATCTACCATTGGCCCCAGAAGGTACTTGCCTGCCTCAGATCTACCCCAGTCCTCCCTGTTTCCTTTGCCAAGCCTTCCCCTTTTTATGGGTAGCCAACATAGCATTAAAATTTCAGAGGCTTCACCTAAAACCATTCACTGTACCTACAAGCTATATCCTGTTATTTGCTTTAGGCTCTGGTGTAAAATAATTATTTCAAATGTTAGCATAGGAAGCTTTTTAAGCTTGGTAAAATTGACTCTAATGATAAGTATATCTGTTTATATTCATTTCTTTACTAGATTGTAGACCATTAAGGCAGAACCTTTATGTAATAGACACTTAATAAAAGCCAATTTGTCAAAGAATGTGCAATTTCTAGGAGAATGGCACACACCCTTTTAGATCTTCCCTCCCCCTTTAGTTTTGAACTTTTACCAATTTAGGAAACCTTGGGAAAACTAACATGTTTTACGTACACATGATAGAAATTTTGGCAGGTTCACATGGCTCAGCCTAAGAGCTTCCTTTGTTGAAAAAAACACTTGGTTGGTTACCTGCAGAATTGATCTTGACAACTATTTTAAAAATTCTTAATATTAGTTTGGTAATATTTAGGGTGATTTTGAGGATTGATGAAAACTTTTTAAGATACTCATTGAAAAACATCTTTATATCAGTCTTTCATGAATCTCTTCTAATGTCTTATATGATGTGAATTAGAAATATAAAACTTCCTTGAAAGTTACATCCATAAAGTAGTATAAAAAGAGACTATTTTCCAAAAATAGAGTCGGGAATATTGTGAGCTATACAATATCTAATAAATTAATTAAAAATAATTAAAATTTTATATCTTATTTATAAAATAGCATTCCAGAGCATAAAGATGGGATACAATCAACATTTAAGAGGAAATTTGTGGTTACTTAGAAGTGTTTCTGTCATGTGTAGGGCGGCCTTTTTATGCTTAAAAGTAATTATAATATTTTAAAACTCAGCTAGTTGTATTAGCTTTAACTTCACGAATACCTAGTGGTCCTAATTTAGAAGACATTTGAGAGAATTTTCTAATGAAAAGTGCTAAAAATAATCACAAAACTATTAACAAGATTTTAATTTTTAATTCTAGAGCTACCATAGATGAATAATTTGACTCTGTTAACCTTCATTGCCAAGATAATAAAGGCAGCACTGAGCTGAGGGAAATGCTCTCCACTTTTACCGTCCATCTCTCTTTACTCTGAGTTCCAGCCAAGCCAATCTTGATGCTCCTCGAATGTCACACTGTCCTTTCCCTTTCTGCCCATTCTTTTCATCTACCTAAACCCAACTGACTTTTTTAAGTAGAATTTAAACTCCACCTTCTCTGTGAAACCAATACTTTTAATAATCCTCTTCTTTTAAACCATTCTAGCGTTAATTACCTGGCCTCACTATTCTGTTATTTTTTCTGTTCCTCCAGTAAGATTGCTGCCCCAGGGTGGAAATGGCGTTGCTTATGGGTCTGGTGAAGTGCTGTCCTCAGAGCAGGTAGAGAGAGGCCTGGCCATGATCAGCTCAGAAGTTCTGGCTTTATTTCTCCCATCTTAAAAACAGAACTCCTCTCTACCTCTTGCCTTTCCAAAACTTCTGCCTTATTTATCTTCTAGAGACCTGAACTGCGCCTGTCCAGATCAGCCAGCACCTCCACATTGCTGAACCCAACGACCAGTTCTCGGTCTTCACCTGCCTGACCTATGAGCAGCATTGACACGTTGATGTTCTGCCTCCCTTTTCAACCACCCTCCGCTCTCCTTCCAGACATCACCGTTCCCAGTTTTCTCCCTACCTCAGTAGCCATTTCTTCAACATCTCATTTCCTGGGTCTTTTTCTTGCGCACCCACAACCTCTCACCTGCAATTCCCCAAAGCTCAGCCTCAGACCGTATCTGCACTCACGCCTCAGGTGATATCACGTGGCTTGATGCGCATGTCGACCAAATGTGTACCTTCAGTCCGAACCCCTTCCCTTGAAATTCACGCTCAGATAACCACCTGCCTACTTCACATCTCCACTTGAATATCTAACAGGCAGCTCACATTGAACACGTCGAAACCAAAACTAAGCTTTCTCCCTACTGGCCAGAACCAAGCACACCCACAATCTCTGCTAGGTTTTGGCAATTCTATTCCTGCAAGTTACTCAGATTTTAAAAATGTGACTCTTATTTTTCTTATACTCAACATCTTACTTACATTTTAGTAGATCTTGTCAGCTTCATCATCAAAATAAATCTGTAATTCAATAATTCAACCACTTCGCATCAGCTCCAGTGTGATCACCCTGTTCCAAAACACTACCTGCTCTTTCCTGGAGTGTTGCTTTTTCTCCATAGTTCTGACATACCTTTTACTTAGCTATTTTTTATTCTTGTTTTTCACCTGCCCTCCATTAGAATGTAATCTTTCTAAGGACAGGGACTTTTCTGTTTTATTTAGTATGGTATCCCCAGTAATATGGTATCCCCAGTAATATGGTATTCTAAAACAATGCCTCTCAGTTATTTGCTGGGAATGAATGAACGAGTGAATGCTGCAGAAAACGGTGTCAAACCGACTATATTTGAGGCAGCCTGGCAGCCCTGCAAATGACGAGGCATTTGGGAAAATACTTTTTCTTTTCCTTAGCCGTTTGGACAATAGGCTAAAGACATACTTTATTTGGTGTTTAGGATGTTGATTTGCATAAAGTTACCAAAAGATTTAACCTACTTATGTAGCCAGGTAAATAACGGCTCTTGAGCAGAGTGAGGGTCTTTCCTCCTGGATGGCCACTACCCGCAGAGCTGAGCCCCAGCCATGCCAGGTAGAGCCTAAGTCTTTCACTCACTGTGGGTCCTATCATCACTTATTGTTCTTTGCAAGAAAGCGTCATTGCATTTACACTATTACTTCTCTTATAGCAGAGAATTCTTTCTTTGACTCATATCACCATCAAAAGTAGGAAAATGAAAATATAAACCAAGAAAACCATGTATATTAAAAGAAAGAGCCCTAGTTGGTTTGGCTCAGGGGTTAGAGTGTTGGCCCTCAGATGGAAGGGTCTCGGGTTCAATTCCAGTCAAGGGCACAGGCTCCTGTTTCAGGCTTGATCCCCGGCCTGATAGGGGCGCATGTGGGAGGCAGCCAATCAATGTCTCTCTCACATCGATGTTTCTCTCCCTCCCTCCCACTCTCCCTGAAAAGCAATGGGAAAAATATCCTTGGGTGAGGATTTAAAAATCTAAATAAATAAAGATTGTGCTTTTAGTGGAAGTCAAAAATACACATCTGTGTTCAACAGGCAAAGTGTGACTAAGTCAAAAAATACTACTTTAAAATAACATTGTGGAATAAACACACAATATTTGCCAGTAAGTACATAGAAATGTATATGTGAGTGCCAGTATATGTAAAATCATATTAATGAATTAAATGAAAGCCTAAAATTTCAACAGGACTTGAATTTAAATGAAATTTTTAAAATCATAATGCTGTGAAAGTCATATATTAAGTGAAAAAAATGCATAAAAACATTTAACAGATGGTAAGTTTTAAAAGCATATCCATTGAATGTAGTAGCAGCAATTACATGCCAAAAAGAAAAACGCTTTTGAAAATAGAAGGCTAACTCAGAAAACATGGAGATATGGCTGAGAACTTATGGAAAAACTTTATGAAAAGTAACACTTGTGGGAGCCCAGATATCAACAATAACACCCAGTTATTTAAATGTATTTGTGCTTTTAGAATTCTAATGTAACCATGTGACTCAGAAATGCCTATGTCAGGTTCATTATTGATTGGATTGATTGATTGGATTGAGAAAGTCTTAAAGTTTGATATAAGCTAATATTAATAAAGTTAATAACTAGTAGGTATAACAGAAAGTGCTATTGTGATGATCCCCAGACTTACAAAATGAAACTAAAATTAAGTGATTTTTCACAAGAACAAGGAACTTAAGTCTACTCATCTCATTTCCT